ATTCACAGGTAACACGCTAAGTTATGAAGGTATAGGGTAGAAACAATAATGTTAAATTTTGAATCAATTTACAATTACATCTCTCTTTTTTTCTTCATCTTGTTTTAATTTAAAGTATTCCTAAGAGCAAGAATAACACTAAGACTATGCCTATTGTTGATGCAGGAATTTGGCCTTCGTGGATTTCGCCAAATTCGCACCAATCTTCTAGAATTAAAAAGGGACCAACGAGATCTGCTAAACAGAAGAGCACTAAAGATCGGTGTAGCTCTTGTCACACATGTTTTGATGCTTAAGTCAGAATTAGAGTAGTCAAGTATGCAGGGTAGGGTAGTTCAGCGTAGCAAATAGTAGGGACTTGTAGCGTACCTTCCTTATGAGTATTTACCTTCTATTTATAAAGGGAAATTCCTAAGGCCATCAGGATATCTTCCCCTTTCGAATATAGGATATATTATCCTGAATCTTGGGGAAATCCTAAGACCATAAGGATATCTTCTCCTTTTGAATTCTTCGAATTCAAATGGTAGAAAATATGGATTTTCTCACCCATAACATTAGCCCCCACTCTCAAAGTTGAAGATAATGAGTTAATCGAATTGTCTACTTTGAGAGTATTTTTGTTGGGTGTGTTACCCCAAACTCGTAGTTTGTAATTATGCAAAAAAAAATTATATTCAATAAAGTTGTGGTTTCATATTCAATAAATTTGTTGTTGAGTTTATAATGTAGCATTGTCTAAATCCAATAAACTAAACATCCAAGGTTATTATCATGTAACCGAGACAGTATATATACTGGATATATATTTGATATACCATCGATATATAAGTGGATAATGTCCTTGGAATAACCTAAAAGGTTTATAGTATATGGATAAGGCTGGGTACCTTATCAAAGCAACGACACTATAGATACGGCTCAGTCATTTGTGTGGAGACATGCGAGTGAAGGTATCCTATACAATGAGTTTGTATAAGATCGGACCGCAAAATAATCAATCTTTAGATGTAACGCTGTTAACTAACAGATTGCTATTTCACAGGATGACTAAGCAACTAATTCTCAATCCTTAGTGAGTTATGGACTCGTGCCCGTGAGGGCTCGTCCTTTGATCTGTATGGATGAGAGTGGTCCGAGGCACCGACTCAACATTTCTACCATTTTGGGGACGAGACCGAGTGGGGAGCTGGGAACATAACTTCACAAGATGGAATTCACAAACACAAGTGGACTGATGAAACGGAGGAGCGTCTACAACCTCAGGAGATGATTGAGCGATCATAGGAAGTGAAGAATGAGATGAAGATGTCTCGGTAACCGAAGTATCAAATTTGTGTTGAGTCGTCAATAAGCTGTTGGAGCAATGGGTGAAACTTCTTCAATATCAATATAGAAAGGATCAATGTGAACGAGATTTGAATGTGTCAAATGATGAGAACCGGCAGGAATGAGAAAAAATGTATATGCTCAAAAACACAATATGACGAGATGCTTATAACTTTTAACGAACTAGATCCAAACAACGATATCCCTTCTGACCAACATCATAACCCAAAAAAACACATAATGCTGACCGAGCAATTCATCCTATTGGTAACCATTTTGATTGGAGTTCGTAGATATTGATATTTAATGTATTTGCCTCCAATCATTAAACGTCAAGTAGGAAAACCTCGAAAACATATAAAGGATACCTTCAATTTAGTGAGGTGAGAAAGCACACAAAATGCAGTGGTTGAAAGCACACAAAATGCCGTGGTTGTTAGTGCGTTGGTGAAATTTGCACACCTATTAAACGATGATGTATATATCCTTTGTATTGGTAGTTACTTGAGTTCTAATTAACCATATCAATGACATTGTATATTAGATACTTCTTCTATCAATGATAGAATTGATACTTTTATTATTGCTCATTTTACATGTATATCATGTGTAAAAAGTTGGTTTATCATGGATATATTGTAAATTAGTTATACCTTATATACCCAGTATATAGTACATTAAGGTCGAATATCACTAACGTTATTCAAATATATCAGTGATATACTTGATATTAGATGTATCAGTAAATTGATATACCTATTATGTACTAAATCAAGGTATACTATTTAGTATATCAATTAACTGATATATCTTAGTTTGCAATACATCAAGGTTAGCTGATATACCTAATATAGAGTACATCAAAGTATATCAGTTATATATTATTTATCTAGCATAAAGTACACCAGCAATACATCCAAGTATATCAATTATAGCTAATATGTCTACTATGAAGTACATCAAAGTATATCAGTTATAACTGATTTACCTAGTATGAAATATATCAAAGTATATCAATTATAATTGATTTACCTAGTATATAGTACATCAAAATATACCAAGTAACATTATTCGAATGTATAAGTGATATACTTGATATTAGATATATCAGTTAACCGATATACTTATTATGGTAGTAAATCAATCTATATCAGTTAACTAAGTCAATTGGCACTTCATACTAGCTAAATTAGTACTAACATTCAATTTTTGTATTCCTATATCAATTTTGTTAGGCATTCTATTAAAAACCATGGTTTTTTCAACTCATTGGTGACTATAAAAAATTGCATATTGTGGCGAAAGGAGGCCCATAATATTTGGATATAAATAAGTTATAAGTTAGTAATATAAGTTAAGAGACTAGAAAGACTAGAAATACATTATAATATAATTTGAACATAATCTAGTATACCTAGTATACTTATTACATCAAGGTATATCAGTTAACTGATATACCTTAATATGAAGATATATCAATGATATATGATATACCTAATATCAATGATAGACTTCAAATAAGATATATCAATGATATATGATATACCTAATATCAAGTATATATCAAGGTAAGTGATATATTTCGAATAAAGTATATCAATGATATATTTGATATACTTATAAAGTATATCAAGATATATAAGTAATTACCGTTATACCTTGTATAGAGTATATCAAGAAATGTATATTAGTTACTGATATGAATAACTGATATACCATATATAGAGTGCACATTAAGGTAATTGGCATTGGCATGTACCTCCAACCAAGAGGTTGTGAGTTCTTGTTCTTGTATCGAAATAATAAAATAATTAATTATTATTGATCCTGTTCGTCAAAGATCCCTATTCTTGATTTCAATTCTTCTCGGTTCGATCCCCACCCCGACATGTTGTACTAAAAAAAGGTAAATAAAAAATTAATCAGAAGGAAATTTGTCTAAACTATTTTGGTTGGGCCTCCATGCATTTCTTAATTGTGCATTTGTTGGACCTTTAAATTTTACAATTTTTTCAAAATTCAGAAGATGGTTGCCATTTTTTTAATTTTCTATTAATTTTTTTGCAAGTACTCATTCTCTTTTGTTTCTCTTTAATTTATCTCCTCCTCTTTCTTTCTTTTCCTTTTGTTCTCTCCTTCCTGATTAGATCCTTGCAATATATTTATTTATTCTTTGCTCACATGCTTCAAGCTTAACTTTAAAGTTTCTTATTAATAGGTCATTGAAAATAAAAAAGTACAAGAATTTGAAAGAAAGATTTGGAATCTGAATTTGGCACATACTAGCACACCATTCCCGAGAATACACCACTTATTTGAATCAATTTGTTTTCGTTACAAATCAACACAGATCCTTTCAATATATTTTGTCCTCACTTATATGCTTCTTAGGAAACTCCGAGGAGGTGACCCAACTAAAGATTGCTCCAAGTTAAACACGTTCAATGTTTTAAAATTTTTCTAAATGAGTCCCTGAAAAGTCATGTAGGCACTATCGATTAATTCTTTTAAGCTTTTCATAATTATCGTGCTTTCATAGTCTTAGGATCCCTCTCATTTCATTGTAATGCCCGTTTCTTTTATGTGATTTTATGCCGAAGTGGGAGGGATCAATGTCAACCTGAGGAAGGACTGTAGCGAGCAATTGCATAGGAGAGAGAAGGAGCGTATTTTATATGTAAATGTAATATATCAATATTTTAATTGCATAGAATTGTTTATTAGTTAATGAACCTATCACTTTATTTTAATAATAAAATTAAATAATAAAGAAAATATATGAAAAGAAATGAATGAAAAAAATGTAACAGAGGATACCATCAACATGAAAATCAAAAGAGCATCTAAAACACCTCTGACATTCATTCCTATAAAACAAACGTGACAATCTCTTAAAGGGTTACTTGTCTTTCTTTTAATGGAAAGATTTTGATATAGTCCAAACAGATCTAAAATGTCTGTTTCTTTTAATTTAAATATTTTGATACGATCAAAACCAATCTAAAAATTCATTCAGTTTATATACTTCTTTCCTTCTATTTGTATACGACAAACATTAGGTGAGAATGAGAATTCAAAATTCTTATCTCCCATAAATACCAATTCTTCTCATTATGTTAAATGGGTATTTTCTAGATTGGATTTGAACATATTTTATCATGATTTTGAGTGTTTGATAAGTTAAATTTTGTATGTTCATTGATTGATTCCATGGCAGTTCCCCAAAAGGTAAGAAATATACTCGTAAAATATTATATTATGAGAGACAGTAGTTACAATATTACTGCCCAGAAAATTGCCGTAACAGTTGAAAGTACAAAAAGAATTATTCTTAGACATAGGGTTTCTCAATCCTTCAGTTTTTTTCTGGTTTCTTTCAGTCATGCAGCGAAGAGACAGACAGAAAGACAGGCGATTCTTGGAAAAGATGGAAATTAAGTACAAAATAAGCAGTAGAGACTTACAGAAAGCTGAAGAGAGAATATATTCATTAGAGCTGGCTGAAGCAATCAGCTGAATAAACCACCAATTGAATTGGCTTTTCAAAAGAGTGCTGCAAGAATAATACAAATTTTGATCCGTTGGGTTTCACAAAAACACACTCCTCAATAGTTGCTACACAGATAATGAAACCTCGACTCGACGGTCGACAGTCATAGCACATTAGAAGATCGAAAGTTCAAATCTTTACTTGTTTAATTGAACTTTTCTACGGTTTACATACACTTTTCCAGCACTTAAACAACTCACTGACAATCTAGATCTCTCTTCTCTCTCTCTTTCTTTTTCTCAACCCAATTTTCTATTTTGAAATCAAGACTTGGGGCAATGAATTTTTGTGGGTCGTTTGTTAGTTTTGAAATGGATATGTTAAACGATGGCATCAAACCAATTTCTTGCCATGTTTTTTCATCTCCACCAAAAAGTTCCTGAGTAGCGAATCGAGTGGCGAAATTACCCCACGAAATCATGGATCATTTCGCCTCCGAAGTGGCGTACGAGCTGGTCATCTTGTGCCTGCAATTGGCGCCGTTGCTGCTGCTGCTGAGCACTCTCACGGTGGCGAAGGCCTAATGTCAGAGACACAGCTCCGAGGCCTCCAACCTCGACCCCGCTCGGCCGATATGGCATGAAGCCCATCAATTCCCCATCCATGCCCAATTTGGGGTCGCTGGAAAGGCCATTTCTGTGATGATTGGCAACAATTTCATTTACAGCATCATGGCTTTTTAGAGGATCATGTTGTTGCTCATTACTGCTGCTCCAACCAGCTGTGTTGTTCTCTATTGTACAGCTTCCATCTTTATTGGTAGCATGGATTTTGTTCATTTCTGTCAAGCCTTTGGTTTCTAGCATGTGTATTTCTTCCACCATTGGCTTCCAAACCCGAACTCGAGCATTTATGAACCAATTAGACACCTGAATTATGTGCTCACATTGTAACAACCATCATACTATCAACATCACGACATAAAAATAAATATTTAGATCTCAATTTCATCGATGTATACAAAATTTTCAATTTAGTCTTTTCGTGAAAAAAAATGTTGACAATGAGATGACATGTCATAAATTATTATCTTTACTATCATATTTGGATAACGCTACTTATTCATGAAACTCTATCTGTCGAGGAGCAAAATCCGACAACCTATCTATTAATTGCATTCCTCCAAAGTGGCATGCCCACGTATCCAAAATATGTTAATAAAATAAGAATCTAATAGCATGGATTTCTTGACAGAAAGAACCTAATTGACAATTTTTAATACATCACGGATTTCGAAAGATTAAGAAGACAAAATTAAGAATTAGATTAAAAATTAGGGAACATGGGGTATATTTAGCCAAAAATATATAATAAATCAACCATTACATGTATTAATAATTAGAGGACAAGGGCATGCTATCATGAAACCAATACATATCTACTCGTCGGCTCCTTACAACCATTAAATATTTGACTACTCATTACTCTTTAAAAAAAACTTTTTATTTTTTTATTTCTCTCTATTAGTTATCAAATATTTAATGGTCGTGAGGAGCCAATATTTTCCAATCTACTCATACAATAATTTACAGTGTAAAGGGAACAAAACAGCAAAATGTAAACTGTGCTAACAACCAAATTAAGCACCACTTTCCACCCAAAAAAAAGGTCTAATAATGATGAATAATTTAACAAGAAGATCAAGAAAAACAATAATATACGAGTCAAAAATGAATAAATATAAAGTTATAGGTCCACGAGCAGATTCTTGATTAGACAAGAAATTAGCAACATTATGATACTAATTGCAATCCCTTTATCATTAGTTGATTGATAAAGTAGAATCAAATTATAACCAAAGAGTTGACCCTACCTGGTTTCGAGATAGCCCCGTTTGAGTGGCTAACATGTGCTTATCTGTGTCCGTGGGGTACCTGCAAAAAAGTAAATCAAATAACTTAGCAAGTGTGACAAATTTCTCGAGCTGAAAAGCACGGCCACAACCACGGTAACGCAGTCATTTTCTGAGTCTTCAGATGGACATACTCCAAAATGTCATTACTTTTGTCCTATATTACTATGTATGCGTATTTATTATTCTAAAAAGTGTTCGGTGCGTGTCTTAACAAGGCTTGGACTCATTCTACATATCACATTTATTGTGCGTGTCCCACACGAACACTTTACTCAAATTAAAGTGTTCGTGCTTACGAGGGAGAGGTATCTTACGGGTGAAGAAAATGCTCGAAGAGCCAGGCTCTAAGAATGGCCACAGCACGTTCTGGCAAACCTCTCTGTGGCCTCCACACGTGTTGGGACTCGAGGAATCCCATGTTGTTAACAAGACCAGATTTCTGCTCCGTATTGTTGTATTTGAGCCGGGCCAAATTCGGATCGCCACTGGCGCCGCTCGTCCCGGGTGAAGGGGATGGCAAATCCTCCCCCAGTGCCTTCCTGAGATACTTCAATTGGTCCGAGATGGCGTTTTTCAGGCACCGGAAGTGTCGCGAGACTGTGTTGAGAGCCAGGGAAATGTAGGGGGTTGCAGAACTAAGACCAGCCACTGATTCAAAGGAGGAAACAACCATTTGCATTTGCTGATTGTACTGTTTGTATCTTCTGCAAACCTTCACAATGGAAAAAAAATGCAGTTGGGAAAAAGGAAATTAAAAAGTTGAAGAATTATTTGTATTCATGGAGATAAATTTATGGAACCACTGTAAAGGGTGGAAAATAACAGGGAGATGTCTAAATTAATCACACTGCGTTCTACTTTAATAAAGCAGAAAAAGAAACTGAAAAAGGCTACAGGACGATGTTGAAAATCACTCGTGTCTTAATTGCTGTACACGGGTTTGAAATAGCAAACTCGAGCATAATTCAACTAGTTAAAGCATTAGGAACTGGTCCGAGCGTTTTAATCTCCTAGCTCAACTAAGGAAACTGAAATGGAATAGAACAAAAACCAAAACTAACAATAGATTAAATCAATCAAGTGTGGTTACGAACCTCCTCTAGCATATACACAAGTTTTGCTTTCTTTTGCTGATACTCCGGTTGATGAGATTCCGAAGAGATGCTTCCAACTCCACTCACATTTGTTTCGTTCGAACCGCAGAAAGTAGAGGCTTCCTGACACGAACTATTCCCGGAGTTAACTACAGCCTCATTTCTAAGCTCATTAAGGGCTGCATCAGATGTACATGGTTCCACAAACTTGTGATTGTGGCCATTGGAGCCACAAAATTCATCCAACAACAACTGAGCCGGCTTCAAAAACTTAGAACTCTTCAAAATGGTGGCGTATCCGGTAAAGGGACCAAGCGGACCAGTGTTCCGATACGAGTTCACAGGAACAACAACCCCGGCCACATGATCTTGAAGAGACTTCCCATAATTTGATGATGATGGCTTCGGCAATCTACACATTAAACTCTCAGCCTTAACATTATTTTTCCTTACACTTCCCTGCAACAACTCCTCCGCGGGACGATCTTCAACAAACTGAGCAGTGTTGGCAGGCAATTTCGAGGACGGATTTGACGAGAGCGAGAGCGATAGAGCCTGAGGATTGGAATCACAACTCATGAAACTGAAACTCCTCAATTTATGATCATGTTCATCACTACTTTTTCTCAATTGATCACCACCCCAACCACGGCAGTTATTATAGAAATTAGCTCCTCTGTCCATCCAAGAAGCAGTGTCATAACCACCCAACAAATGGCCCTGATTTCTACTCCCACCTTCCTCCTGTTCTTGGTTGATCTCTGTGAAGTTATGCTGCACAACGACCGTCATTTCCTCGAGCGAATTCGGGTAAATCGGGGGCGGCGGAGGAGCAGGAGCAGGAAATTGCAACAATAATTCTGCATCTCCCACACCCTTTTGGAACCCAATGTGATCACTCAACATAGACTCACTCCCACAGTTCACCACCCAATCACAACTTTGCTGCTGGGGATCATAACAAGTCGAAAATGATGACGCCTCTGCATCGTCGTCGTGATTCCCCAAATGATCTCTGGAGGAGAAATTGATCATCATCATAGCTTGATTATGATCAGACCCCAAAATCCCATTGTTCTTGAAACCTTCATGAATATCCACATTTTGTGCAACTCTTAGCTTTTGACGCCGCCTTTGTTGAGCAACATGATGCGCCTCAACAAACCCATAACTATTTTCCATCCACCTAATTTCTAAACCCCATACACCATTTTCGCCACACCTGCACAAAATATATCAAATTTGAGAGAGAAATGAAAAGATAGAGAGAGAGAGAGAGAGAGAGAGAATTTTTTCCCTTTTTTTTTTTGTTTTGAGATCTCTGAAATGGTGATGACTAGCCAATAATTTAGCACAGGCTAGATGAACAGTATGAAAATCTCCCAGTGTCGGTAAAACCTTCAAAACCTAAGAAAATGAAAACCCACCTATATTTTTTCTTTTTTTCCTGGAGCTTTCCTGCCCTGCACCCCACCGAAGAGCTCTGAATGCAAACTCACCAGAAGGTTTGAACTTAAAACCTCCGAGCAAATATAATCAGGAGACTACTGCAGAATGTAAATCCTAAAAAAAGAAAGTCTATTGAGCTCACGAAACCCTAAAATTTTTCCGGACGAACTCACATGCAGAACGGAACCGAAACCGAGAGGAATCAGCGGAGGATGTTCATCGAAATCGTATGTGTAAATCAACAAACTGAATACGCTCAAATTAAACGAAAACAAACAAACAAAAAAAAAAGAAGAAGAAGAAGAAGCATGAAGAAGAGAGAAATTATATAAATATGTACTTGTTGTTTGTTGGTGGTAGTAAAAAGGGTGGCGGAGGGCGGCGGCGGAAGAGGCCGGCCGGCGAGGGGATGTTATAGGGACAAGTAGGGGATTGGGGAGTGGTGAGAGGCGCAATGATTGCGAAAATAGCAGTGAACTGGCCGTCGGGGTTTTAACGGTAAGAGCGCGGGGAAACAGTTTTGAAAAAGGTGGGGAATCCGCCGTTAGGTTTAACGGCGGTGGGAGTGACGGAGAGTATTACGTAATACGTCCTGAGCTGCAGGTTGCGGGTTGTAATGAATGCCACTGATGAGTTTGGGAAATTGCGAAATTGCCACTTCGGAATTCGGATTATTGCCAGTGTTTTCCAAGAATCTCAGTGCAATCCTATTTGTAGAAACTATTATTTCCTTTTTGCTTTTTCTCATTTTTCTTTTTTTTCTTCCCTAGTTTGATGGATTAATATATACATCACATTGCTACTAATCATTTTTAACTTATTTATAAATGGAAAAATATCTCTTATTTTAAATATTTTTTTTATGATTGTATTAGTTTCTCTAAATTTTATCGATATTAATAATTTTTAACTTATTTATAAATGGAAAAATATCTCTTATTTTAAATATTTTTTTTATGATTGTATTAGTTTCTCTAAATTTTATCGACATCGATATTTTATCAATATTTTTATTGATATTTTTATGAAATTGAGACCTCAATCTTTTCATCAAACATTTAAAATATTGATTATGCCAAATGTTAAAAAGATCGATGTAGATGGAAATGTCAAGATCTCAATTTCATTAAAAAAATTTGATAAAATATTCATGTCGATAGACCTGATCTCACGTCAATGTATGATATTATATATGTTCAGTAGAAAAAGATTAATAATGATTGGGATAAGTTAATGGCGTTGAGTGATATATTTTAGCTACTTATAAATTGTCAAGGCCACGTTATTGTTTTTAATTCATGATGACATTATGTATTATTATATTTGAGACTAATTAAAATTTTATATTGTCTCAAAATTAAATTAATGGATATAAAATTGATAAATTAAATAATGTCACTTGTCTATTATATGGTCCTCCAACGATATAAACTAGTTCAATTAGCTTGTGTTTAGTGATAATTGGGTCTAAAGTCAACCAAGTTCGGCACACAAGCAAACTCACCAAAAAGAACAATACTCTAGAGAGGTTATATTTATGAAAAAAGAAAAAGAATCCATAATTTAAAGTTGTTCATAATCATTCAGAGTGGCTTAGAGCAAGAATTCAAAGACTACAAGACTTCAAGAATTGAATCGTCTTTACACCAACTAGAAGTCGACAATTCAATATTTAACGAACTTCCCAACGTACAAATCAAAATTCATACCAAAAGAGAAAGCATCAATGAATTATATGTTAGAGATTGTAACGTGCATACATTTAGATCATCTCTTTAGAACTTCTTTTCTAAAAAAATTATTTTGAACAACCACACATATAGTGGTAAAAAATTACAACTATGGCCAAAATCAAAATGGGTAAATTAGTAACTATAGTTTTTTTTAGTATAACAAATATGGAGATGGAAGATTAAAACCTCCAATCTATCTAAAAAATGAGTAAGACGTCTTAATCGTTAAGCTATGCTTGGCTAGTAACTATAGTTAATCACTAATTGATTGTTGTTATTATTATAGTTAATAATGTAGTCCAGGAATGCGTAAACTGACTTAAACACACGCAGATATTAGAAAAAAATGTTAATAATATATTTATGTTAATAAAAGGTCGTCTTATAAAAAAAACATATTAGTCCCCATTAATGTAGTGGATTAATGACACGTATTAGTTCTTAAGAAATACTATATATTTATCAAATATAAATTTAATTTAATGATAATTGACATTTATTTCGAAAAAAAAAAAAGAAATGAACATATTTGTAATTACCTCTAGAAAAATTACTATTGGAAAAAACGTAAAACATGGACAACAAAACGCCAGCTAAAGACTTCTATTATAGAAGGAATAGTCATCTCCTTGTACGATTTCTACAAACACAACTGTTTTTTCGGAAACAGCCCTCTTTACATACAAACAAAATTCAAACATTTTTTTACATTTCGTTTCTAATTTCTTGTATTTTCACATTTTCCAAAAGCATTAATTTCTAGTTAGTTGGTAAAACAAAAAGAAAAAAGAAAATATTTTTACAAGTATATTAAAACTAAAAAAACAACCGTTTATAAACTTAATTTTAAAAAATAGAAAGTGCAAACAAGAAGTCTGAAACTTTATTTTGAATTGAAGCCCCAAAAAGTCAATAATAAACTGTTATTGTTTATCTACGTTAAATTTTTGTACATTTTGCAAATGTACTTTTAAAGTCAATTTTGATTCATTCTAATTCTTATATTTTTTAAAAGTGACCATTTAATTTCGTAAAAAAGTAAACATTTAAGTCCATTAATTTTTAATTTTATATTTTCTAAAAAAAATATTTTTATCATTTCTTTCTATCATAATTTTAACATGACATTTCAATCACTAAAATTCTTCAAATCTAGTCTTAAATTCGTATTAAATGGGTTATTTTTCCTATTAAGTAGAACAAATATGGAGATAGAAGATTGACATCCAACTTCTAAAAAAGAAGTAAGATACCTAAATCGTCGAGTTATGTTCATATTAACTACAGTAAATAAATAATTTCTATTATGCATTAAACTAGTTACTCTTTAGGTAGAACAAATATGAAGATAGTAGATTGAATATCCAACTTCCAAACCTAATGTTAGCTGTATAAGGGAGGTGGTTGTGATTGGATAATAATCTGAGGAGGGGAATCCTACGTGGACATGGGAGGGCGTGTAAGAAAATGACAGGCTGGCAACTGGGATTACGTCACCTGCGGCCACTCCGTACAGTTTGCTGAGTGAAAGAAAGAAAGAAAGGTTTGAAAGCGGCAGATCTTTTGCTTCCAAACACTCCTCTATTCCCTATTTCCCATAAAAACACCAACACACTTTCAACTTTCAAAACTATTAAAACTCTCAACATCTTCCAAATCCATAATCCTGATATATCATTGACTTTCTGATGTGGTGTATTTTTCGTATAAGTGGAATTCAATTATCATCAACGAAAATATATGTAACTTTAGAAAGTTGGTACGAACACGTAGGGCCTATAGATTGAGTGAGTATGTGTTTGACAGCATTTGACAGATTTATTTTTTAAACTTGTTTTTGAATTCTGTTATTTAAACGGTAGAAATTCTTAAAAGAAAATACTTTTATTTTTTCAGTGTTTTCGGATTTTGAATTTGAGACTTAAGGCCCATTTGATAATGATTTCTTTTTTTTGTTTTTTGTTTTTTTGTTTTTAGTTTTTGGTTTTCTGCCATGTTTAATAACCATTTTTTGTATTTTATTTTTAAAAAACGGAAAATCAAACATGTTTGGTAACTATTTTTACTTTTGACAATGATGTGAGTGGGAGTGACGATGCTCTGAGGAGGAGAATAACAAATAGGGTTTAATTGAATTGAATTGCTAAACATGACCTATTAATAATACTATAATTCTTAATCATAATAGGGATAGGAAATCTAATTCAAATAATATAATCTAAACTAAATCTAATTCAACCCTAATTATAATTGAAATAATATTATCTAACAACTCTCTCCTATTCTCGTGTTCGTGAAAATTTTTAGTCTCGTCTCCACCTCGTTCTTCGGTCTAAGAGATATTCTCAACAAAAATTACCAGTTTTATAATTAATTTTATTTAATTTTATAATTTAAAAAATAAGTGTAATAAATATGTATTAATTATTTGAAAAATGGAATCGATGACGGGTCAAGACACGCATTTCTTATTTTTGGAGTTGGGTCCAGCTTGTCATCCCAAAAGTAGAGACATGAATACAAATTTAAAGAGATGTAATTAAATAAACTTTTGGAAAATAAATTTTAGAGAGATAAATAAAAAGATCTAGAAAAAAAATTGTGAAAGAAAAGTTAAAACAAAGAGAGAAAAATTTAAGAGGGAAAAAAAGTAAAAGTTGAGAGGAAAATATATGCCAATGAAAAAAGAAATTAGAAAGAAAGAAAAAAAATTATGGTAGAAAAAATTTTCGAGATAAAAACAATATTCAAAATATAATTTTTAGAGAAAATAAATAAATACAGAGAGAAATAAAAGTTGCCGTGAAAGAAATTGAACAAAAAGGTATATAATTTTCAGAGGCAAAATAGATTAAGAATTGAAAATTTCAGGAAAAATATTAAATTTTTAGAGAAAAAAATGAAACGGATCTACCATAAAAAAATAAAAAATAAAAATATATAGAGAAAATTTGAGAGAGACAAATAATAATAAATATTTAAAATATGAAAATTTTAGTAAGAGAAAAATAAGTTTGGTATAGAGAAATTTATAAAGAAAAAATGTTTAGAGTGATATTGAAATTTTTTAGAGATAAATATGGGAAATTAAAAAAATTGAGTATTAGAAGAACATATCAGATTTGAAATCTATTTTTGAAAATTACCTTTCTTTTTAATTTGGTTTTTGAAAAAGAAAAAAAAAATTGGTTATCTAACATGTTTTTAAAAAACCAAAACCCAAAAACAGTAAACGAAATGGTTCTCAAACAATTCTTAAAATGCAGAATTAYATTAAAAATAAATAAATAAAAACTAATTGTGATATAAAATATTATTTCATGTCATAAGCTCAGTTTATTTTTTTATTAAAATATATAATATATTATAAATTATAAATTAGAAAATGTTATAAAATAATAATTTTATGAAATTTATAACAAAACTGTTAATAAATTAATTAATATCATTTTAGATTAGACTAAATATTTAGTTGGTACTAGTAGTTTACAGATTTATTAATAAAACACATGTTGAACAAATTTAAAAAATTGAGATTCTATTTTTTAATCTGTTGTCAAACACATATTTGAAAACACTAAAAACAAAAAGATAACTCTATTTTTTCATTGGATCATTTGTTTTCAGATTTCTATTTTCAAATAACCAACCAAACACGCCGTTAATTTTTGACCTTTTTAAACCCAAGAAAATAAAACTACAAATTTGGTTTGTTATGTTGTGTATGAGTTTACCTTTTACTTTGG